GTGCGGCTGCACTCGCCCTGATCCATGATCTGGACATCGACGCACTGCAGCCAGTCGGGGAGTGGGCTGCCGTCATAGGTGCCGCCCCAGCCAGAGGCAACAGCCCAGGCTCCAGCGTAGCTGTTGTAGCGATCGTTGAAGCTGGGCAGCTCAACCTTGTTGACCAGATGCCAGAAATCGACATGGGGAGTACGGATCAGGGAGATGTCGTTGTGCAGGTTGCCACTGTTGTAGTGGTGGTGCTGGACGATGTCGTTGCGGTGCACCCAGTGGGTGTACTGGGGCTGGGTGCGGAAGCTGGCGCCGTAGTTGATGGTCACGGATTCAGCTCCGTTCGTGCAGTGAGCAGCAGTCAGGACCCAGGTGTTGCCAATGATGGAGCCACCGCACCACCAGTTGCCGTTACCGGCGAAGAGCAGACCAACAATGTAGGGAACTTTGCCCTCGTAGGCATTGTATCCGTTGGTGATTCTGCCCTGAATGTCCTTGACAGGGACGGGAGTCTCCTTCTCCAGGGGAGTGGGGACAGCGCTAGCTGCGGCTACAGCCAATGCCAGGAATACGAACAGTTTCATCTTGAACAAGTGGTGAAACTCATGCCTTTCCTAAAACTTTGCTACGCTTTTATACTGGCGAAGCGGCCTTATCTGGTTCGTCTACACATCCACAAGTGCTCCTTTTACTGAAATGTAAGATTCACTGGCAATAAATTTAAGTTTATTTTTAATGAAAGTTGTGTCGGCTGATAAGTTGCCTTCAAGTGGAACGTTTGTGGAAATTATGGCTAACACTCGGCTATCGTAGGTGTGTCGTACTTGTAATAAGTTAGCAAAAAAGTAATTTATTTAACGAATGTCCATATTGAGTGACCACAGGGACTCTGGAATCACTCTGGAAGGCTACAAAAATTTCCGGCTGAGTATTATCTCTTAGCAAAATCTGTTATTTATTTATAATCATAGTTATCTTGCCCTCAGAACTTAAGATTGCTACCCCTGGGTTAAAGTTCCTGACATTATTTTTCTAATAATATCAGGGATATTATTCTAAAATTATAGGCATTATGAAATTCAAATAAATTTCGGATTTTTATTATTAAAATTGAAGTCATCCCTGTTATTTTTGTAAGCTCAGCTAGAACTAGTTAAGAATTCCAAATATTGGCTAATGTACAAATTGATTTAAAATTAAAAATTTTTTTTAAATTTACAAATGATTTTTATTGTTCTTTTTCTTTTTTATTAAAAAGTGTATATAAATAAGAAATATGAAACAATTTGTTTCCAATAAGTTGGTAATAAAAGTTTATCCTGTTCCAGGATTTTTACTTAACTCAACCTCTTTTTTATCTCTGAAAAATATAATAAAACGAGAAGGAACGTGTGAGTCGCTTCTGGGGACGCGACTCTACTTATACCCGTACTCAGTCAGTATATACATTTTTGAGCATATGATTTTTTAGAATTTAAGAATTTAAAAAAAATTTTACATATACATACATGTTTTTGCTACATCTGTTATCTACATCTACCATGTATATTTTACATCTAACATGTAGATTGTACATGTACCATTTATATTCTACATCTCCTTTGCTAGGGGTTGCTCGCGCACTAAGCGCGTCAGAATGTGCGAGCGAGAAAGAGAATCAGTAACAAGTTTCATGAAGGGTGAGACGGGGGAAGCAACTGAAAATTAATTTCTTCATTCTGGCTATAATTATGATCCGATCTGATTCAGATTCGGCAGTCTGGTAGATATGGTAATTTTCGTCCTTTGTGGGGGCGGAGCGAAATTTTGCAATACACTTGTAGCAGTGTGATATCACATGAGTCTGGAAACAAAATTTGGTTTCTCTAGCTTTTATAGTCTCTGAGATCCAGTCGTCAAACAAGACGGGCGGACGGACAGACGGACAGACGGACAGACAGATATGGCTCTATCGACTCGGCTATTGATGCTGATCAAGAATATATATACTTTATGGGGTCGGAAACGTTTCCTTCTCAGCGTTACACACATCCACTTTTACCACAAATCTTATATACCCCTTAACTCTTTTTTGAGTACGGGTATAAAAAAAGCAAATTAAACCTTTGGCATTGCGGTTGGCTTTTTGGATGTCCTGTGAGATGCAGCAGGGACGGGGACGCAAGGACCTTGAGGAGCGACGCCGAAGTGCAGAGTTGCGCATCAACTACGGCAATGCCCCGTCCGCCATGAACATGCGCGGCTCCAGGCCCACGGTGAAGATCCAAATACCCGGCACCGACATCGTGACGAGGCATCGCATCGCCAATCCCATTAGCGGAATGGACCGCGGTCTGCCGATGTACAGCGGCTACGGCTACCATCTGGACAGACGCTTTCTCTCGCCCTCGCACATGAAGCCGATTGGTTCCGGACAGATGCCCCAGGACTTGTCATTGCCCGTGGGCGGGCGAGATCGGGATCGATTTGAGCCCATCGTCTGTGAGGCACTGCCAAAGACGCCGCCCCGCAAGAAGTATCCCATCATCCAGAAGCTTAAGTCCAAGCTAAAGTCCAAGCTGAAGGGCAAGCCCAAGGACCAGAGCAAGACCTAGAGAAGAACAGCACAAGAAGAAGACCGCCAAGAAGTCGCCAAGAAGTCGCCAAGAAAAGAAATGCAATCCAATAAACCAATAAAAGCATCCACTGGAAAAATCAAAAAGCAGTTTAATTTTCAGAGGTTTTCCTCCGCTCATCAGATCGGATCAGAGCAGAGCAGAGCGGGGAGTGTTCTGAATATGGGATTATGTATTAAAGGTATTATAGGTAGATAATTTCACACTCTCTATGAGTTGTTTTAGAGCTTTTCTGTGCTGCTTTCTGAGGCATATGAGTGAAATACCGTCAAGGGATTACCTTTAGGCGTATCTATCAGAAGTTGCTGGGACTTCGAAGTCAGAAGTGTGGCGTTCTGCTGCTTTCAATTTGAAGGATAATACAAAACATTCTCCCAAAACATAAACTGACAAAAATCAATAGATTTTGCATGTGTTTTACTTGCTTGGAAAAGTATTTCATCTAGTTAGCATTTACTTTTCTGTTCGTATCGTTTGATTTGAGGCTGGGCAATATTTCATTCTTTCATTTTGGCCTGTACGGTAGTTTATATTTTTTTTTTGTTATTTGACTTAGTGTAAAACAAAATTTCGGTAGTTTTTATTTATTTTTTTTTATTTGACTTAGCGTAAAAAAAAATTTCGGTCTGTTAAAAAAATTTAAGTCTGACTATTATCTCAAATGGCCACTCGCAGTAGGCCTGGCAATTCCCATCCTCCGACCATGGCAGCAGCCCAATCTGCTGCGGCTGCGCCCTCTCCGGCACTGGCTTCACATCCACCCGCTGGCCAGCCAAAGAGGAATTTTCTGCCTCGCGTCGCAGGACTCAGCCGAGGTCAGGCCCCCCCCACCAAAGGTGAACAAATTGAAGACGCCACTGGCTCGGCCAGTGCCCAACAAGAAGGCGTCGCCTCATCCTCACGAAGGGCCGAGTCTGGTGGTGCTGGGCAGCGCAAATCCCAGCACCATTGGCAGTGGGGAGACCGGCGAACTGGTCGCTCAGATCGGTCTGGCACATGCCCAGCGCAGGGGGGAGGTGCACCTTTCCAGCTTCGTGTACCTGTCGGCGACGAACAGTCGTGCCACCCATATCACCGAGCTGACCTACGATGTTCTCATCAATCAGAATGAAAATCAGATGTCCGCTGTCGCGAGCTGGAGCGCACTATCCTGGGACCAGGGGGACGTGGAGGCGTTAAACGATAGCTACCAGCTGCTGAACGAGACGGTCGTTGGCATTGAGACGGTCAGGCCAAGCCGAAAAGAGGCCACGACAAAGCAGCTGGGGCCCTCGGAGTCCTCCGCTGCTAAAAAGGAGCACAGGAAGAGATTTCTGAAAAGGAAGATGGAGAATTTGAGATTGATGAACGAACGGATGCAGGCCAAAATACGGGCCATTATCAATCCGGGGGACCGCACTGAAGGAGGGGGCCCGCCAACGGCACCAACGTCATGCGACAGCCTCACATCCATCAGTCCCTCCATGCAGCCTTGCTACTGTGTCAACTGCAGGCGCAAGCGCAAGCAGAACCGGCAGACCGTCAGCCAGGTCGGATTCCGGAACGTTGAGCACGTTTCGAGAGTAACGCCTCGTCCCAGGTTGCAGAGTTTCGGCCGCTTCTCGAACGCCAACGGGCTGCCAACGATGCCCTGCTTGAGCTCCGATGCTACCGCAACGCCGTCGATGGGGTCCTGCTTGAGCCTCAATGACACTGCAACGCCGTCGATGAAGTCCTGCCTGAGTCCCCCTATCCTCTCGGCCCAGTCGACGCACTCGATGGTGACATGCCTGACCTCCGATGGCCACCCGGTGGAACCTGAAATGCCCGAAAACGGAATTCCCGACACTGGATGGACTTCGCCGATGGTGGTGACTGGTGAGCTTTCTGGCAGACTTTGCCCGTCCCCCGGCCAAACGTGTCGTCCGCTTCTTGGTCTTGAACCGAGGCCCACGGGCACTTGTTGATGGCTGTTCCCTTTCATAGGTGCCATGCGGCACACAGACAGAGGAACAGCCAGACAGTCGTGGGCCTCGGTTCAAGACCAAGAGCGGGACACCTTGGCGGGGCCCTCCCCATCATGATTTTCTTGAACATTTGCGGTGCCGCGCTGAGCTTTCTGGCAGACTTTGCCCGTCCCCCGGCCAAACGTGTCGTCCGCTTCTTGGTCTTGAACCGAGGCCCACGGGCACTTGTTGATGGCTGTTCCCCTTTCATAGGTGCCATGCGGCACACAGACAGAGGAACAGCCAACGACAAGTACCCGTGGGCCTCGGTTCAAGACCAGGCGGCACACCTTTGGTTGACGGGCAAAGTCTGCCAGAAAGCTCAGCGCGGCACCGCAAATGTTCAAGAAAATCATGATGGGGACGGTGGTGGGATTCCTGTTCGTCGGGATGACTATTGCACTGTTCTTTACGGATGTGCCATGCCGCTGATTTTTTTAAATTTGAGAATTAAACAAAATTTTACATTTACATTTATTACATATATTATGTATATTCTACATCTAACATGTGGATTATACATGTACCATTTAGATTCTACATCTCCTCCGCTAGGGGTTGCTCGCGCACTGAACGCGGCAGAGTGTGCGAGCGAGAAGGAAAATGACTTGTGTTGTCGTTTGCGGGGAGGGGGACGGGAAGCAACTGAAAATTAATTTCTTCGAAGGAAGTCACGCCGATCAGCTTTGCACCGTCATGCGTGACCAGAGAAGGTTCCAGAATCGCCCTGGTCGGTGCCGTAGTAGGCCTGGCACTTCGATAGAGGGATGACTTCCACGTCCACGCAGCGTAGATCTTCCACCACATTGCTGCCATCGTAAATGGCACCCCAGCCAGAGGCCAAGGCCAAGTAGCTGTCGAATGAGTTGTAGCGTTCATCCAGACTGGGAAGCTCAACCTTGTCCACAAGGCTATAAAAATCCACATGAGGTGTTCTGATCAGGGATATGTCATGGTCAAGCCCCCGATAATCGGGATATCTAATGAAAGCGGCGCTGCTGACGGTGTGCCTGAAGGCCGCCTGCTCGTAGTTGGTAGCCCCATAGTAGAGTGATGCCTCATCAGCACTGTTTAAGGATAAAATACTCTTGAATGGCACTTCGATATTGACTTCAGGATGAACTTACTCGCTGGTGCAGTGAGCAGCTGTCAGTACCCAGGTGTTGCTGATGATCGAGCCACCACACCACCACCACCTTCCGTTGCTGTTGAAGCTGATGCCCACGATATAGGGGACCTTTCCCTCAGTCGCTTCATAGCCGTTGGTAATGCGACCCGTAATATTTCTGTGTTCCACCTGCAGGTCTTTTGGGTGCACAGCGTCATGGGCCAGAGCCGAGGCCACAAGAGTCGCCAATAGGAGTGCGAGTAAAGCCATTTCGTCGGACTAGCACAGCTCCCATGGTGGTCTGAGTTTTATACACCTCCAATCAATTTTCATTTCATTATCGATGCAAATACTCGAGCCCAAAATCTAATCAGCAGAAATAAATTAATGAATATAACAGGTACTTTGGTGGAGCGTGTTATCAAACAAAGTCAAAGCAGACTTTTGGCATATATATTTTGTATTTAAATCCACACCTCCCCCAGACCTAAACACCTCAATAAAGGGAACATCAAAGTGAAACTGGAACATGATACGCGTATGAGACAAGAGACATTTCTAATCGAATGTCATATAATATCCTTGAAGTAGTATGGAAGCAAAGGGACAAGCAAGAGGGGCACACTCTTTAAGTGCGTCAACTGTTTGGAACTCGATATGACTTGTGAGGAAGCCCGCCAGCGAAAAGCGTAAAGCGAAAATGGGTGGAAACTTCACACCCCCACACCTCGCTTATTAAGTATTTGTCGGGACTGTGCAATTTTTTAAATTTACTTACTTCTACTTGACCACAACACAGCCCTCCCATCAAACCATCGAAAGTCCCTACTCAACACGAAAGCAGGCAAAAGCTCGGAGAAGGAAATTCACCAGAGCTCCGAGAGCTAATAAAGCCGATGTCAGGCGAAGTGCCAAGCTCGTGCATAACTCGACGTCCAGGCAAGCAGACCGACCTCGCCGGGTGCATTGGCAGCTCCGATATAGCAATAAAAAAACACGAGAATTCCATAATAAAATTAAAACTGTTGCGGGCATAAGCCACATAACTCATACGCCCCTTATGGCAGGATTTTTATATGCAGTGGAAGAACGAAGTGCACGCATAAACTGCTACTGTACGTAACTGCTATGTGGACGCAGTCGTATATATGGTAGAGCCAACATTTAATAAACAGAATACCCAGGAGGCAGGAACTAAGTGAAAGTTAAGCTTCAGTTTGCCACTCGACGAGAGCCGTATTTAAGGATTGGCAACTTCTCAGAGAGTAGTGTGTATGTTTCCCCATTTCTTTGTTTTCCTGGTTCCACCCACAGCCCAGGACCCACAGCCCATACCCACGACTGCTGGGAGGGTTCATTGACTACCACTAAAGGTGGAGCGATACGGATACGATGAAGTCATGCTGCCGCTTGTGAGAAAACCCCCCCTGCAGTGGGAATAGGGGAATGTGTTGCTTCTGTGCTCTTCTCTAAGCGAGCAAAACGAAATGTGCCAGCCATAAGCTATAAGAATATAATATCAACAAAAACAACAAAAAGGACTTGCAAAATGCATCAAGTACTCAGCTACGAGACGGCTGTGCGGGCAAACAGTTCCCGCGAATACCGTGAATATGTCTCAAAGCGAACGTGTGCCTCTCTGGTTCTGACAATTGCCTTCTTCATGCTGATAACGGGTAAGTCAGCGACTGAATGCTGCCCTGGAGGCAGGCAGCACTTTCACTAACGAGTCCTCTTGTCCCTTCGGCAGGGTACTTGCTGGGAAATTTTGTGTCGGAGCGAAAGCACCACATTCTGCAGCTGACAAAGAGTGTAATCAAGGATATAGATGGGGAAAGATCCGTTCAAATGAACAACGCTGATTATGCCAGCCTGCAGGAGCTGCAAGCATATCAAAAGACCAAGGAGCACATATTGGCCGCCGCCCAGGTGCTCAACAAACTGCAGCAGCAGGACGAAGGCGACACATACTTGGCCACCTCGCTGAACACGGAAATCTTCAACAAGTACATCTCCTGCACTCAGGACATCCCACCAAACACCACCATACCAGCCAGTCAGTTTATCGAGCAACTGATCGACAACACTGTGGCCAGGCAGCGGCACTGCATGCGGATCATTCAGGTGGTCATCGACAACCATCTGGACAACAGTCAGCTTTAGGGGAATGATTTAAGAACGGAATAGGGGTCCAATAAATGGCTGAAATCATTCACAGGTGTGCTTGTGCTTAGGTGTGTGCTCAGAAATGCAATATTGTTTCATCTTTGTCTCACATACACATACATGTATGTATGTATAAACATCTATAGTTTTATAAGACTTTTATACTCGTATATGTACAGTAGGTGTATGCATTTACATTGGTGTATTTAAAGCGAGAAGCGTACTTGAATTCTCTGTATTGGTGTTGATAATAAAACAAAACGTCTTGTGAAACTTTGGGAGTTCGATCGGAGATCTTAATCGAACTGACGATAATAGTCATTTACACCTTTGATCGGCAAGGGATGTCCTCCGCTGTTGAGGACCCATTCATTCAACGAAATCACATCATCATCTGAGAACAACAGAAACAAATACTTGAGAGTCTTTCCCAAGAACACACTTTGCTGCACATCATCCGGTTCCGGGGGCATCTCGTACACGTTTCTTATTCCGGTGTATCCGTATGACGTGCGGCAGTATTTTTCGATTGCCTGTACGATCTGCCAGCCAAAACTGCGATACCGCACGTCATGCGTCAGTCGCCAAAGCACCAAATAGCTCTCAACGACATCTGGATAGAGCATATAGCGATTCTTCTGATGTGGCGATGCTTTGTCGTGTGCATCATTTGGGAAGACCAGGACTTCCGGCCCCAGTTTCGTAGGTGTTTGCTCGTAGCTCCTATGACACGTTTCTGTAATGCCAATGCCAATATCTGCGTACTTTTCCCAGTGCCTCATCTGCAGCTGTGCTGCACCAAAGGCAAAGAGCGCACCGGAGAAACATGCTCCTTGATCCATCCGATGGTTTGAGCTGCCTTCTGCATAGTTCGACACATAGGTGTCACCGTGGGGACTTACAGTAAGCATATTCCGCACGATGCCCAGAATGGCGTCAGTGTACATCTGCCTGGATTCTGCATCTGTTTTTCCCGACTGCAGCCACGACTTTAGCAAATAGTCGTGGAATCTACTTATCGCAGTGTCCCTGCTTATCCATCTGCCCGTTTTGATGTTGATCCTATTTGGGTACAAGCCATTCGGTTTTGTCATGCTCCACAAAACCTTGCGGATCCCCTGAACTCGCTCTCTGTAGACCGCGATGCCAGTGATGTCGCTGAGATACGAAAACTCCAAGTGCAGTGCTCCAAACCTCGAAATGTCGTTAATTGATTGTGCGTGCCCGGATTTGGGGTTTATTGCGGACTTGGGTATCCCAGTGGGTGTTTCGAATGCTGGCAAAATCTTATCGGCCATGTGCAGCGCCTTATTCTTGTACAAGGGGTCGCCGGTTAATGCGTACAGCGATAGCATGGAACCCAGCAGCAGGGAAGTTAGTTCAAACACTGGAAGCGCAGTGTTCACATTGTCGATTGCAAATGTTGACTCGATCCAATCACGCCCCTGCTTGTACTCGTTCTTCAAGCCCATTATGTGCAAGGTGTCCAAAGCTTCGATAATCGAGGCGCCCAAGCTATGGGACCCGAACCTGCCACCCAGGCAGCCGCACCGTGATATCGGACAAAGCTCATTCGATCCCCAAGCGTACAGATGGTAGTTTCTCCAGGCATGCAGCATCATCTCTGTAATTTTCCGACGCATTCCAGACACATCCATTTCTTTTCTTGTGTCCTCATGAAATGATTCCTTCGACCATCCTTTATACAAGGCGAATACCATGGTCAGGAATACTGCTAGAAGTCCAATAACAATAAGTCGACTCCAGCAAGTGGTTTTGGTAGCACTCCATTTAAAGTTTAGTCGTCGAATGTTGTTGAAGTAACTCATTTAGAAACTCGGCAAGTTCGCATCTGAGGCGATAGTCTAACCCCCATTATGGGCATTTGAAGCGATGTGCGGTCCAATAGTAGAAGGTGCACACTTGATTAAATATTTAAACAATTAATACTTGTATGTATGTATATAAATATGTACTAACCTACCAAGGTAAATTGATTAATGCATTCGATTGGTAGATGGAATAATATGACTGAAACTCGATTAATTATATATAATATTTACACCATAGGGGTTTAGCTGTTGAGCTACTGGGTAGATATAATGTTGCGCATTTGCCGTATGGCAGTCACCAGACGTGGCTCACAGCCGCTGCTTAGGGTCAAGTACTGATCTGGTGCGGCCTTCAGCAAGGTGAGAATCTGTGACAACTGCAGATTTATGGACAATCCCAGTTCCTCGAGCACATTCGAGAGGTACTCAATGTCCACACTGAGCTGCTTTGCGGCCGAGGCTGGCAGAGACTTGATTTGCAGTATCTGTGCCTGATACAAAATGCAGCACTGTTCCACAACTAGCGACAGCAAGACATCGGCACAGGGTATGGCCTGGGTGTACTTGACATTACACACTTCTAACGCCTGCTTCAGCAGGGCCGAGGGCGCGAGCAGCAGCGGCTCTAGATGCTGGGGTAGGGTTAGCAGGTATTGTCCTATCTGGGTGATGCTTTCCTGGGGAGCGAAACTGAAGGATGGCATGTCGATGCCCGTCGAGGGATGAGTCTCTGCCGATGGACGAATGTGCGCCAGGTGCGTCTCAATGGGCTGCAGCAGTATGTTGAGAGTTATGTCGTGAGTTTCGCTAAATTGGAATTTCAAAGCGGCGTAGATCTGCGGAAAGATGCCGAGGCTGTCGGTGGCCTCCGCCTTCTTCTGCTGATAGTCAGCAATGGCATTCAGTAATTGGGTGCGTGCCGCGTGGTCACAGGTCTGGAATATTGTAATGTTCCCCCGACTGGACTGCTTGGTCAGCTTAGTCGCTAATGTGGCCATGCGTGTGTGCAATTCGTGCTCGAACTGATGCAGCTGCACTTGAAAGTCGGCCAGGCATTGCAGCTGGGACATGGTGTACTGCAGCAATGACCAGTTCTCACTCTGCGCTGCGTAGCTGCTGGAGCCCAGGCTGAGGCCAAGCTGACGCTGGATGCGCCCGAAGTTCTCCAGCTGGCGCTTGAAGATGCCATTCAACAGGGTTATCAGCTTGCACAGGGCCAGATCGCTGGTAATGGCAGAGCAGCGTTCGCAGGCCTCTTTCAGCCACTCGTACAGCTTCCGGGTGCTCTCCTCCAGGTGACGCACTGCATCGCTGGGCGTGGACTGATTCGACAGCAGGCGATCCACCAGGGTAGACAGCTGCGTCTCCTCCAACCGGGGATATTGTTGTATGAATTTGTGAAAGTACTCAAACACCGCCTCGCCCAGTTGCCGATGCAGCTCATCGGAGAGTGTGATGTGCGACTGCTCGAGTAACGAGTTTAAATGAAGGACGAAACTGTGGTTAACCTGCGAGAATAGTCCCAGCAGTTCCAATCTCTCGTTGGATGTCTTCAGCAGCTGCAAAATGTGGGCATCCCGCGTGGGCTGGAGGGCGGGCAACAACTCGGCGATGACTAGGAAAGGCTGCGTCGATTCTTCACTGAACAGATTCGAGCACCACTTGACCTGTCGCTGGCAATGTTCGAGCAGCTGATCGTAGTAGAGCGTGAGAAATTGTTGCTGCTGCTGCGGCTGCGTTTCTGTGCCCTGCAGCTCCAGCGTTTGCTTCCATTGCTGCTGCCAGAGATTCTTCTGGACAGCCCGATAGTATTGCTGGAGCTGTGGCAGACGCTGAATGCTGGTGAAGATCTGAACATAGTGCTGGGCCTGCTCCAAATTGGATTCCGCAAAGCACTGAACAACGCTGGGCGAGGCCAGAGCTTCCAGGCGGTTCTTGAAGTCCTCGACTTGAGTGAGACGCTCGGCATGGCCAGGCAGTTGTTCCTGGGCGTGCAGGGACTTTTGCAACGCTATCAGCTTCTCGCAAGCTCCCTGAAAATGCATATTTTTAGTTCAATCAGATCGCAGCTTCTATTATTGTACGCACCTTCAAATCGTTGCGCTCGAATCCGTCTTCCAACTCGGCCAACAGGTTGCCCCAGCCATCCGATTCCTGCAGCGACTCCTTGGCTGCCTGCAGCTTCGTTTGCAGCGTGTTCAGCCGCTCCAAGGTGGCCATGCATTCGCCTGTCTCATTCTGCACCGCGGCCACCTCCTGCCGCATAGCACTCATCTTCTCCTGCAGCTGGCTCACGTCGCTGTGCAATGTGGCGGATTCCTTGGAAATGCGCGGCATGCTCGATACCACCTGCCGACTGGACTCCTCCACGGCGTAGTTCACCTGCTGAACGTACAGCTGCAGTTTGGCCACGTAGCTTTGGATAAAAGACGTCGCGTCGCCGTCTTTGCTTCCATTCTCCTCTATATACTTTTTGTAGTTGGCATTTATCCAGTCTGCGTGACTAAACGTTGCTTCCGAAAGGGCAGACACGTCCATTTAAAACTAAATGTGAACACGAGACTGATTTTAGTAAGTTGCTGGTTTGTTGACTAAATTTAATTGTTGTTTTGGTTTTAAGTATTTTTCAGCCACTCTGCTCGGTATTTTTCTGTTTGTGGTATGGTATGGCAGCCCGCAGCAACTACGAATTGCACGAGTCTGGCAGCGCCACAAAAAAGTATCAAAACATCGATACCATCGATAGTGCCCTCCATTAAAAAGCAGAAATGAGTCCGGAGAGCGTTTTGAGTGCTTTCTTTCGACTGGGTCATGGCAAGGTATGGCCCCAGTATTAAGACGGCCAAACTTTTTTTAAGGACCTCGTAAGGACCTCACGCTAGCCCCGACGGAATTAATATACCATATTTGCGCCAAAGCACAAAATCCCGCACGGTGAGTTATGTGGTGAGGTGGGTATTTTTTTTGAAAGCTCTGAATTTTGTGACGTCATACGTCACACCTCATACCCTTATCCTTGCGGCGCAATCAAAAGTTCAACTTCAAGTTCGAACGTCGTGTAACGTCGCTTTGGCCGTTTTTGTTTGAACCCTATTATCTAAGCAATCCCATTAAAAATAGGTTTTGAAAACTAGCCAATCCTCAACAAAATTCATTGAGGAATTGGATAAAATTATTTTTTTAGGGCTGAGAGTCCCAACTAGCTAGTAATATTAAACGGAATATCAAATTCGAGGAATATCAACGTTGAATGTTTTGAAGAAAAAACAATCGATACTATCGTGATATATCGATACTATCGGTAGTGCCCTCGATTGGTTGATGCTAAAGTTAAATTAAATTAAATTAAACTAAAATTTATGAAGTAGGTGTTTTAAACATGTACACGGGCAGTGCCGATCCCTGGCAATTGAAAGATACAACAACTGGGCAAGGAAACAAAGAACTCTCAAGCAACTGTGATACTTTTGAGGATAATTTCACAGCCCAGGACCAGGACCAGGAAGGCACAGAAAAAGACTTTGAAAATACAGACAAAAGAAATGATAGGAACTTGCACGACCCTTTGCCTGATTCTAGCAACTATTTGGAACTATTAGGTGAGACTATCCAATGGAAAGAATCATCAATTGCTGAATGCAACTTTCATTTTCAGAGCGGAAGTTGGCCAAGGTGCAAAAGGGCAGCAAATTGTTGGAAAATTTGCAGGACAAGCGGCAGGATTGCATGCGATCTCTCCTGTCGGCCAACGGCGTGCCAGTCACAATATTTGAACAGCTTCTTGAGCTCGATACCCCGATCGACAGCGGTCGGCTGCATCGTCACTTGCTTCCTGTCCAAGCCCTAACAGTGGGCGAAACCGTTCGCATAGTCGAGCACGACGCTCTGGAGCGGCCCGAAGAGCAGACTGAAGTGGAAGATCAGTAGCTGAACCACAATGGACTCTACTTTCGGCAATATCTTCCTGTTTCTCACTGAATTGGCGTGGAAAAGTCGTCTGACCATACCGATTCTGGTCACCACAGCATTTCTAGTTATGGACATACGTTTGCAGATTGAAATCAACATACAGTCGGGACAATTTGTGAGTACAGAAAACGAAAATTGAGGGAGTACAGTATATAAAGGTGTAATGTAATCTTGTATAGAATGCTAGCGATTTGGATGATATTGATGATGCTTTCGCTGACCAACTGGGTGATCATGATGAGCACGACATGGGCGAGGACAGTGGCAGCGACAGCTATTCAGACGATCTTGAGTACATCAGCGAGTACTCCAATGAGGACGGCAACAACAGCGAAGCTTCCCACTACAGCCTGGACATGTACGACCCCTGGGGGTCCGACTGGGATGCTGAAGATGATGTCGATGCCAACTATCCGAACGAGATGCCACTCTAAAGCACACAAAACGTTTAAATTTAAGAAGTAACTGGGCTTAATTAATTAGTTTTATTTTAATATGCATATACATATACAAATGTATGTATATATATTGTATGTAAATCCTCAGCAGTAGCAATATGTGTAACCTCTCTATTTATCTGTATTTGTATGTACTAAAAAAAAACAATTGCTATGCGTACATACATATGTGCATTTATTGTTTATTTTACATGTACAATTTGATCAACTCGTCGCTCACTGCCGAGGGCGTCAGTATGCCCAGATCCGTGAAGAGCAGCGTAATGTACACCGGAGGTGTGTAGTCCACCAGGGGGTGCACCTTGGACACATCGTTCAGATGCTTGCGCGAGTACTGCGAATCATATCAGAGTTATAAGAGACTTTTCTATCACGAAACAGTGCACTTACCTTGTACTCATTGGGTAGGTCGCGCTGATTTAATGGATAAAGACGCGTGAACTTGAAGCTCTCCGCGAGGACGTAGAAGGGCTTTTTCATCTCCCGCGCACACAGGCCCATAGTGTAGCTACCAATGCGGTTTATGATGCCGCCACTCTCAACCACTGCCTCGGCCCCCACCATCACAAAGTCAACCGATTCCATGACATAGCCTGTGGCCGAGTCCAGTATTAAAGTGCAGTCAATGCCAGCCGCATTCAAGTCACGGATCATCTCCTCCCTGATGAAGGAAAGTTTTGAATTTATGAAATCCGTAGCCTGTTCACTGGTACCCACCCGGAGTTTCCTGTGCCGCCCTGCGTGACGAACACGTGAAAGGACTTTTTGTTCTGCGAGGCTGTAATCAGAGCCTTGAGCACAACACGGGACCTGGAGTGTGTCAATATGCGGCAGCCGTCGCTAATAAATCGTTGCGCTTGCTTTGCAATCACCTGCAAGTGCATACATGCCTTATATTAGGAATCTTTGTGTGGATCAGCGAAATCTACCTGTCGAGAGTTGTCCAGTTTGTCCAGAAAGATTTTACCGCGATTGAGCATTATCAGGCGGCACTCTTCCATATGCTTATCGTCCAGACTGAGCGTTATAAACCGGCAGAAGAGCTCGCCGGCCGACACGATGGCTGCTATGGACAAATCCGTATTCCGCATGGCTGCCACCGCCTCCCTCATGGTCGTGTGCAGAATGTGGATAGTCCCAACTGAAAGATATGTGTGTTACAGTGTGGTAAATCCCTCGCCGACCACCTTACGTACATTGTTTCTTCTCCAGTATCATAAGCAGCGTCCTGATGGCCGCTATGCCATACGACATATCCTTGTCTTCCAGGAGCTGCAGGAAGTATTTGACCACATCTGCGAGGAGTCTTCGATTATATAGTTTGAAGAGTAAACAAATGCACGATTCTTGCTTACCAAATTCCTTGCCAGTTTCCGCAATTTGTGGCATTTTGACAAGTCTGTTAAAACTTAAATTGTAAAGCTGCACGTCAACAATGAAATGTCAGTGGAACAGCTGATTGCGGCCAAGCCACCAGTGCTGTAAGTACCCGCTGCTGCAGCCCTTCGCGTTAGCCAACACTGCGTGCCGGGGCTAAAACGTAAACAATCTACAAATTACAGGCAATATATCTATTTTGTTTTCCTTTTGGCATAGAAACGACACGACACAAAATTTATAGCATGTGCCTCAAACAACAGTAAACGCGCGACGGCAGCCAAGTGAATGCAGGATACACCTGTAGTGGGTCTTCAGTGCGTGGCAATCGACGTGGAAAACTGAAGGAGAGGAGCAACCATGTTCAAGCTAGAGTCCTACATCACCCCGATTCTGCTGAGCTACGTGGCCAAGTATGTGAAGAATTTCCGTGACGAAGATGCCCAGGTGTCGCTGTGGGAGGGCGAGGTGACGTTCCAGAACCTCGACCTGCGGCTGGAGGTTCTCGAGGAGGAGCTTAATCTGCCCGTGGAGCTGGTTTCGGGGCACATCCACGAGCTGAGCATCCAGGTGCCATGGACAAAGTTAATGTCGGAGCCGGTGAAGATAATCATAAACACAATTGAGTTTGTGGCCAAACTGCCGGACAATGAGAGCAAACAGCGTCGGGCCTCCTACCAAAAGGAGCAGCGCCGAAAGGCGAAAAAGGCGGCAATGGAGGCGGAACAGCAGCAGGGGGGAACCGCCCCCGCCTCCAGCTCAATCGTGGTCAACAAGATAATCAACAACATCACCCTGCAGTGCCACAACATCATTCTGAAGTATGTCGAGGACGACATTGTGGTTTCCATGAATGTCCAGTGCCTGAACTTCAGCCCCGCCGGCGAGAACTGGAAGCCCACGATGGTGGACGTGCATCAAGTGTCCGTGTTAATGCGCAAACTGCTGCAGATATCCGATCTTACCATCTGCCTCGACAAACGGAACACTGCGGGAAGGATCGAGGTGTGCCAAGAGCCGGTCCTCTATCGCTGCACCCTGGAATGCCGCGTCCTGCGGAAGTACAATGCCAACACAGTCAGAACCTCGAGCACGACCAGAATCGGGGTATTCACCAAGGCGTTTGACATTAACGTATCGTCGCTGCAGTTCCCGATGGTCATGAGGTTGATCAAAATGCTGCTGGAACTCAAGCCGGCGGAGATGGAGGAGGAGATCCCAAACCTGGATGATCCAGAGGAAACAGCGGAGGGCAACGAAACGCCAGTGGGGGGGCCACAGCCCGAGAGCCAGAGCTATCTGTGGTGGGCCTGGAACCTTTTGCCCAGCTTCGAGTCGCAGGCCCCTGCAAATGCGGACGATGAGACCATTGGCCATTCCTTCGATATGGGCATCTACGCCGAGGAGCTGAACTTTCAGCTGAAGAACTCGGAGTACTTCACGGATCAGGCCATGGGCGGGATGAAGCGGATCCGCTACACCCCCATCCTGCGCATCAGCTTGGGCGGCATCTACTACGAGCGCTCGCAGCTGAAGGAGAACGACTGGACGAACGTCAAGGCGGGGCTGTCGAGCATTTGCATGGAGCCCCTGGGGGCATATAGAAGCGAGGATCCAGTCGATCGGGTGTTGGTCAACACCCAGGAGGTGAGCAGATCCTTTCTATGATAATCCAAGTAATATTTTCCACGCTTTTGCCTTGCAGTCCCTGAAAGATCGCTCGTTCATCGACAAGAGCCTGTTCGACGAGCACTTTATGTTCTCGGATCGCACCTGGTCCAGCCACAACTACGAGGACTACGTGGCCAGGAACACCGATGAGTACATGCTCTTCCGCAGCCCCGTGCTTTCATTTGATATTGTCGAGTACCGGGCCCCCAAGTCGAACAGCCATCCCCTGGCCGAGAGCCAGCTGAAGGATCTGGGACTGCGCATTCAGTATCGTCTTCTGTCCGCCGGAATCTCTTTCCACTTCTCACAGTCGTTTCTCCAGGTTAAGAATGTAATTAGCGATTTATTGCGTCCTTACGATTACTCGGGATATCATTCAGAGTCGATCAATGTCGCCGCCACAGTCGAGGAGCCCCAGCAGCAGGAACTCAAGAACACCGACATGACCTTGGCGGACTTGGAGTACCTGATTGGATTCGCTCCCACCTGCAACTACAAGATCGAGCTGCGCAACATGACCATACAGCTGTACCCACGCCAGCAGCCAGAGGAGTCCTCGGCGGCCAATCAGCATCAGCTGGCGACCACCGTCAAGCAATCCCTGCTGCCATATCTCCAGCTGAGATTTCCCCTGGTCGAGGGCACGCTCTGCGGCCCAGTGAACGCCCAACGTCTCGTCCAACTGATTACCCAGCTGCAAGACAAGCCGCGAGAGCTGATCAATTCGTGCTACACTTGTTACCGATTCAATGTGAAGAACCTTACGCTGACGATCCTGAATACCACGCCAGAAAATGGCCGCGCCAAGCTGCTGAACATTCCCCGGATGCAGTTGAACGTCAATCGCCTGCTGCTCCCCCATCTCTGGCGCCCCAACGATGCTGCGTTGGAAACGGTGGAGATTCAGTCGGAGATCCTCACTGTAGAGTTCTCGAAGCGCGAGCTGATACTCGCCAAGCGCATCATCCCCCTAATAATGAGCTTCAGCGGCCCAGAGCTCTGTTCCCTGTCCCATCTTGTGGCTCAGTCCACTGCCAGCTCGGATGTGATCAAGCTGCAGACGCTGGCCACAAAGTTGCGGCTGAATTGCCACAGGTATCACACGCATCTGTCGGCAAATGCGTCGCTGCGAAGCCTCAACACAGATGCCTACCACTCGAAGATGAACATGCGGAATGTGGTGCTGTCCACCACCAAGGACCTCAACAACAAGTGGCTAGAGGTGCAGCTGCAGCTCCCGCTGCAGGAGGCATCCACGGACCAGGAGCGGATGCCCGCCACTGTCTTGTGCCTGTGGGCTGAACCCTTCCGCTTCACCACGGACATATACCTTCTGCAGTTTCTCAATTTCTCAGAGCACACGGAGAAACGAAAATCAGCGGAAAATGGTAAGCCACGCAGATTAAACTTGGAAGATCTCTGCCTTCCTACAATGATTTTTGTTAAATTTCAGAAATCGAAATGGAAGTGGAGGCTGCTGCGCCAAGCCAGTCGGAGCAACAATTTCCTCAATCGGTATCAAACTATTCCACGATATCGGCCACAGCGTTGCCCCTGCAACCGCGTCGAATCAGTCGCAACAATAGCCGCAAGATCTCCGTCCCAGAGGAGACAGTGCATCTCAGTTCTGAGCGGGATGAGAGGCACACACAAACGGAACCCATACCTTGTTTATTGACGGACAGTAAGAGAGACAGGAAAAGTGACATTGATCTCGGTCAGCTGGTCAAGCGTCTTAGCTCCATGGTGGTGCTCGTAGAGATTGCCCAGGTCCGGATAGACGTGTGCGAGTTGATGGTGCGCATGAGCCCCGCAGAGACGAATGTGGAATACACATCTATACGGCTGCCCCGCATGAAAATCAAGTCCAGCAACTGCGATACCATTTCGCGGGGCAACATTAGGAGTGTCATTCTGGTCGCTGCCAAAGCGGATCTGATCAACTGGGTCACAGATCTCAACGACTTGAATGTCTGCTACTGCAGGGGAGACACAACAGAAGTGGTTCTGGCACCAGTTAGGACTACCATCACACTGGCCATGTCCCATAAGCTGGCCGAGGGGAAGCAGCAGGGATCTATCCATTCCAAAAAGACACCCGAGGAGGACCAGAACAAGGAAGATCACTCGGATCACCCTGTCGAACAGCGAGGCCTCGGTACTTACTCAATAAATGTCCATGTGGACATGTCGTCCATCAATGTTTTTGCTCGAAGGGTAAACCAATCTACATATTAATAGCTGACTAGTAGAGCTAATCCCACGACATTTCAGGTGAAATTACTGCACGAGCATTATAAAATCATATCCGAGATTCAGAGATCTCTTAGTCCTGAAGATGATGGCAATGTCAAATGGAGTTCGGCTCCCCGACTGGAGGTTTACACGGGCAGCTCGCAAAACTATCCCGCGATCAAGGAATTTCTAGAGCTGGATCCAAACTTTGAGCCCCCGCAAGCGCAGAATGGTAAGAAAAATACAGAGACCGCTTTTCTGGCTTCCATTTAACTTTTGTTTTAGTTGGCGAAGTGGATTTCTCGCTGATATTCTTTTGCCAGTGGACCATACCACGGATCAGCTTCGAAATGGAGAGCCCTGCCGATCGCAAACAGAATAAGATTGTCGTGACTTTTGAAGATCTCCTCCTGAACGTGGACAAGCATTCGGACTTCACGAAGATCACCACCAAAGTGGAGAACCTGGGACTCGACTACTACGAGGCCAAGCCACAGGGGGAGTGGCTAAAGAAGGATGGCTTCTACATCAAAATGCTGGGCGACAGCTTCAATTTGCCACTCATCAGTGTGGTGGTTACCACCGTCAGTCTGCAGAATCTGTACTCGAAGATTGGAGCCAGAAATCCCCGCAATAAGCAGCACACAATCTCTGAGCTGCTGATTGAAGTGCAGCCCATTGAGATGGTCCTCGATCTGGACCAAATCACAGACTTTGTCATCCCACTGTGCGGGGTGATAGAAATAATGAGGGGCAACAATGAGGCACTGGATCAGCGGCCAGCTATGGAGAGTCGCGTGACAACCGTCCAGGATCTGCCCATGGTGCACCTGATCAGCAAGGGAATCTATATCTACCTGCCATTGGCCACGGGCAGAAAGTCCTGCAGTGTCTTGCTGCTGAGGGTAAGATTTGTGTGCCCATCTTTGAGTTGCCCCAACTTCATTCCTTTTTCTTCTCTTCTGTAGATTGAGAATGTGCAGCTTACGCCTAGCCTGGAGAATCCGTTGGTTCGGCAACTGGTGCGCCAGGACATCTACCAAAAGGCCGCCGAGCTGAACATGCTGAGCACCCCCGGAGCCCTGGTCGAGGATCGTCAGTACGAGCTGAGCGTCAAGAAAGTATCCCTGTCCACGGGCAACTGGCTGCAGACCCAAAAGTATCACATGGAAAAGAGTCTGGCCAGCGAGCACAACAATCCGGCATTCGAGTGGAACAACCAGACTCGTCCCATCGAGCTGGACCACATGGATATCTTCAGGGACTTTGACTTCATCATGGTCTATGCCCCGGCGATCATCTACGACCGGTTCTTCGTCTGCGGACAGAGCGTGGAGTACAACTGTGTGACGGACTTTGTGGCCACTCTGACCACGCACCAAATCAACCTGATAACCTGTATCCTAGTGCGCTTTCAGCGCTTGTACAGTGTCCTCGATCAGGTCTACGGCAAGCAGCCTTCACTGAGCAAAATGTCGTCTGAATCGATTCAAGGCATCTTGTCCAGCCCCGTAGACATTTCGGCCAGGAGCAGTCGCCTGAGGCAGTCCCATTCTGGCCTGGCCAGCGCTAAGCGAAGTCGTTCCAGTTTCGTGGATGCCAGAAGCAGCAGCGATGTGTTTATGGGATCGTGTCAAAGTGATTCCGGAATACATATCGGGGGAAGCAGTCGATTGATGGGGAATCAGAAGTCACAGGAGGGGCTGCAGCCGAGTGTCGTGAGCTACCCGCAAAGTGTCTCCTTTGTGGCTGGGATATTCGTGCTGAAGATCTACGATGTCTTGCAGCTGGAGGAGCTCGAACTGGAAGTGCCAGTGATGAAGCCACTCATCATGCTGACTGTCTCCCAGCCTAGCTACATGTGCACCCGAAGTCTGAAGGCCACCATCAGGCAGGCATCCATTTTCAATCTGAACGTAGCGGGGGCCACGCCTGGGACGGAATCAGCGGTGGGAGAGTTTAATGAGGCTGTGTTCGACACACTGCCAGGTACTCTGAGCAGCTCGGGGATTCCCCCACCGCTGCTCACTGTGCGGTCCCAGTGCGATCGCATCCATCAGACCGAAGTGGATGTGGAGGTCCGCAAACCCATCGTCCTGCGCCTGTGCGAGTCGAGCGTCCAGCAGCTGGCCAGCGATGCCATCCGCATCTACAGTGTGCTCCTCGAGAGTCCCTGCTTCGCTGTGCGCAGTGAGCGGCCCGTAGTCCAGGGCCCACAGCTGCGGCAGATGAAACACAACTGCTACAATGCGGATCGCTTGAACCTGGCCTTCGATCAGATCACCATCAAGCTGTTCGACGCGGAACGATCGTACAAAGTGCAGCTCCGTGTGGCTGGACTTTAACACCAGCATCAAGTTCAATCCGCGTCCCCAGAAGGCCGTCATACGATCCACGATTGGCTCCTTCTACATCCAGGCCGGCGAGAAGATCTTCCTGCATCCGCTGCTGATGCGTTTGTCCATGGATCTGGTCAGTGAGCCATGGTCGGACGATCTCCTGATCAACGCTACGCTCAAGCTGCACTTTCTGCACATCGATGCGAGCGTTTGGAGTATCCTACAGCTGCAAAAGGCCCATGAAGGGCTCAGGCGGATTCTTGACCATGGCCATCGGGAGTGGCAGAGCTTTCTGAGGCATCGTCCGGTACTGGGCATTCCAGCAGAGGTCGCACCCGAAACCCTCGTCAAGTGCAATCCATCCAAGGACTCTATTGGGCGCCACAAGCGCCAGCTGAAAACTAAAGCAGAATTCTATCAGGACGACCTCAGAGCGGGCGCCTTTCAGTTTGTCTACCTGAACTCCGAGTCCGTGCTGCCCATGCCCTACCAGGTGCAGATCATCAAGAAGAACTACGGGATTATCTGCTGGCGCTATCCACAGCCACGGCAGATGACCAGCATCCACATCTATCCGATTCCCATGCCAGTAAGTTATTCCCCCGCCTCTCTGCATCCTTCTCGGCAGGCAGTCCAGTCAATTGATTGCTCGCTTTGCAGGTCTCCAATCCCATTCACATCATGTGCCGCATGGAGTACTTTAGTGAGACGCACGAGACCTTTCTCCACTACTGCGACTTCCAGCTGTCGGAGACGGCCACCAGGCAACTATCCCCGCCAGATCGTCAAATCTGTGCGAATATCTGGCGCGTGGTCATTCTGCAATCGTTGATTTCTGTGGATGGCACCTGCTTTGAGGGAGATGAGGATGAAGATTTGCATTCCGTAAGTACCTACAGAGTTATTTATTTGAGGGAATCTCATTATTATTCAATTATTCTGCAGATTGATAGCAGCCGCATTGAGCAGGCCTTCAAGACCGATGCCGACAACGATTTCATATTGCATCCAAAGGTTCTCGTGGGATGCATGCGCATTGATACCATTTTCAGGGCGGAGAAAGTGCCCAAGCTGCAGCTGCTGCTCTGCTGCCAGGACATGGAAGTGAACCTGCTGAATCTGCCAGATGCCAAGGGGGAACTGCCGTCCCTGTTGAAGGAATACTCGCTCAAGCGGACCACAGACTGCCCACAGACCTTTCTCACAGTGCACGTGGGCGATCTGCAGGTGCACTCGGCTGTCTATGCCACGAATGACTTCAGCCTGGAGACTGATTTGCGCGCAAGGGTAACGTGCCTGGACTATGGCTTCCTCAATATGCTGGACATCGTGGAGCCCGTGAAATTCTCCAGCTACGCCATGTTTGCCCACTCTCCGCGCTCGCTAAAGGCGAACTTCCTGCTGGACAAGCTCCGCTTCAACTGCGCTCCCTACATGATCCACACGCTGCTCAGCTCCAAGCAACACTGGCTGGAGGTGCTGCGCAACAGCGAGATCCGTCACACGCTCATGCCCAAGTGTGTGGTGGTCAACCGCATGCAGGCAAATCTCGGCTTCGGGCAGACTGGCACAAGCGAGCAAATATCCCTGGCGCCCCAGGAACTGCAGCTCTACCACTTCCGCAGCTGTGTGCACGGGCAGGAGCTAACGTTCTTCGTTAGGAATCCCGAAACGAATCAGATGGAGGCCAGCAGCTCGCTGCACATTGCCTTGAAGTTCGAGGAGGAGCAGAGAGTGCGTCATCTGCGCGTGGGTAAGTGTTGCATCACCATCAAGGTGGGCAAACTGTCTGCCACACAGATCTACATACTGGTGAAGGGCCAGATTGAAGTGATCAGCATGATGCCCTTTGACTTGATCACCGAATTCCGCCACGAGGGGAAACGCTACGACGAGCATACGAGTCCGCACGATCACTTGCTTCTGGCCAGAGGCAGGGCATCCTTCTACCAGACGGTGGTGCGGAACGGAGACATTAACTTGCGGTAAGAAATTGCTCACTTCCACTCGAATTTGTAACTGGATTTCCCCTTCTCTAACCAGCCTGAAGTTTGCTGCTGGTCGCGGCAAGGGACGCACTGGCGACATTCCCCTGAAAACCAACAATAATCTGCCTTGGCTGGTCAAGGTGCCCACACAAAGCTCCTTCCAGCAGTTCGTCAGCCTGTGGGTACGCATCTTGCGCGAGGATGTGGACTTGGACTCAGACTCGGTGGACTCTGACTTTTATCCGCAAAAGATATTGATTTGCATTTGGCCCATCTTTGAGGTGTGCAACATGCTGAGCGGCGATCTTCAGGCCACAGAAGATACGACTGGGGACAGCTCTCAGATCACAGCCCACGGGGGAAGGTGGTCTCTGCAGACGGCTACCACCCACAGCACTGAGCATCGAGTGGGCTTTCAGTTTCCGTAGGTTATCACACATCCCCTCGTTCGAGTATCTGTTAACCCAATTTATTGCAGGGCTCCACTGTGCAGCAGGGGATTGTCCCAGGATAATTATACATTCATGCTCAAGGCCATGGACTGGCACAAGTTCTTTTACTTCGATCCCGCCCTGTGGACAGTTGAGAACTCGCTGCACCAGCTGGGGAAGACGCTGAAGCCAATGTGGCCGCTAAACGACGATGAGGAGCTGCGCGTGCGTCGCCATGTGCGCCTGGAATCGACGTTCGACGTGGAATACCGCGTACATGCCACGCGAGAGTTTTCCTGCACCTTGGGACTGGAAGTTTCCGCCTGGGGAATGTTCATCAATGCCACGGGACTGGACCTGAGCATCTGCCAGACCAAGGATCGCGAGCGCCATCAACTCAAAGCAAACTGCCTGGAATTGGTGCCCAAGTTGTGCGGTGTCTTCACCATTGATGTGCCCTTTGGCTGCAGTTGGATCGCCTCAACGCCCATCTACCTGGAGGAGCTGGCCAAGACCGTGGAGAACAGCCCCAAGAGAAGCATGATGCTGCGCCCGAGTTCCTATGTGGATATCGTGGTGGTGCGCAACGAGGAGGTGCTGCGCATGATGCTCGAGTACAGGCTGGAGGACGGGCGTCGTGTGTTTAAGCTGCGCTCCAAATTCGTAATAACCAATTTCACAGATGTCTCCCTGAACGCCCTGCCGCTGACCATGGATCACAAGGAGACCTCCACACGGGAGGAAGTGAATGCGTACAGCACGGCCAAGAGAAGTCGCAGCCTTGTATCCGTGGATGGTACAAAGAATTGGTAAGCTATCTGGGGGGTTTCTAGGTATGCTACCCCACCCTATATATAATTCACAATCCCATTTCATTCTCGATTCAGCAGTGGAGTGACGGTGGACTTTTTCCACGATCTTAATGCCCGTGCGGCTAATCATACCTGTGATACGGCTTTTGTCTACTTTCTGTGCTTCAGTGTGGCCGGCGGTCGTGATATATCCATACCCATTCCGCTGGCCATACCCTTCACGAGACGCTGCTTTAGTCTGCAGACTGGACGGGAATCGGTGCCCTTCATGATCACTCTCATCGAAAAGGACAATGTCCACTATCTGAGCATATTCCGCGACACAGCGCCGGCCCTGATCATCAGCAATAGCACGAATGTGAAGTTCATTGTGGCCCAGACGAGTGCCTCCGGCAACAGCAATGTGACATGCACCAACTCCGAGTTCGTGGGCAGGCACTTTGAGTGGAATCAGCTGGTCTCGCCGCACAGTAAATGTTACTACACCCCGCCGCAGATGTACGCCAACTTTCCCGATGTCGAGTTTACCATGTGCAACCTGTCGTTGGCTGTATATAATGGTGGGTTTCATTTCTCACGACCGAAGAGTGCAGTAAATCCAAACGAGGTTCCCTGTTTCAGACAAGTCCTGTGGCAAGAAGAAACTCGGCTGGTCAAAGCCCATCAGGACTGACAAGTCGTGGAAGAAGTTCTTGCATGTGCCGAGCCACGGCGATGTGAAAGTGGTCGTCTGTGATAAGCATCGGGTCATACGCGTCAACATCTACTACATTGCCCAGCAACTGGAGTTCTCCGTGAAGGATCTACGCTCGCGGCTGAAAAAGCCAGAGAACCGTTTGCTGTCCCCGGAGGAGGACCCAGAAAGGAACTTGGAAGAGGCCGAGACGGCTACTGACACTGCTGCCAGCGATCCATGGATTGCCATTGCCGGACATTGTTGGCTGCGCCCATTTTAGCGAGGAATGCGAAGTGCAGCCACAGATCAAGATACGAATATTCGTGAAGCGTTTTGTGTTCAGCCTGCAGACGGACAACCGGGAGAAGGACTACTTGAAGACGGAGGTGTGCAATATCTATGCAGACGACTCCATGCTGGCCTACGACGACGACGAAGATCAGCGGGTGCTGCGCCTGCAGCTGCCGAATCTCCAAGTGGATAATCAGCTGTACGCCAGCGGCAAGTACGATTTCCCTGTGCTGCTCTGTGCGGAGCAGTTGTACAGGCGCCACAATGGCCAGCCGCAGGTGTACGACTTGGATGAGGTGTACCAGCAGCAGGCACAGAGTGGCCCTGTCTCCCTGCTCACCTTCTATTTGTATCAGGACGAAGTGCAGCTGCAGTCCGTGCGGTGTCATGTGCAACCGTTTCGAGTCTACATTGAGGACGCCTACCTGAACCAGCTGCTGGAGACGCTGGTGGAGTGCGAGCCATCCCATTGCGTGCACACGCCCCGCGAGGAGCAGGACAGGATCTTGCTGCCCGATGGCCAGATCCTCCTGCCCGACCACGTCGTAGCGCAGTCCTTGTACATAGCCGAGCCCTTGCGCCTGAACAGCTTCACCGTGGAGCCGCTCAGCTTGCTCCTCTCCGTCCACACCTCCTCCCGACTGTACATAGCCCTGGACCACTCTCCCCTCTCCTTCTCCCGCTACGAGCGCCAGCAGATCCTCACAGTTCCCCTACGCTTCGGACAATCCCTGGGACTGCACTATCTCAGCGGAGCTATTTTCGGAGCCGGCTGGGTGGTGGGTTCCCTCGAGATTCTGGGCAGTCCCAGCGGACTAGCCCGCTCCTTCAGCACCGGCCTGCGAGACTTCATCTCGATGCCTGTGCAGGGGCTGTTCCGCGGGCCCTGGGGCTTTATGGTGGGCGTGACACAGGGTTCTGCCTCGCTGTTGCGCAACGTAACGGCGGGCACTGTGAATTCGGTTACCAAGCTGGCCGGTTCGGTGGCACGGAATCTGGACAGGCTCACGCTGGACGCAGAGCACATCGAACTGACGGAGGCCAGAAGACGGGCCCGACCCCAGGGCTTTGCCGATGGCCTTACACAAGGCTTGACTGGACTGGGCATCAGTCTGCTGGGCGCTGTGGGAGGACTGGCGCATCACACACTCGAGGCACGCAGCTCGGTGGGTGTCATTGCCGGCCTTACCAAGGGCATTGTGGGAGCCTTCACGAAACCCATCAGTGGAGCTGCCGAAATGCTGGCCCTCACCGGCCAAGGCGTTCTCCACACGGTGGGCTTCAACGCCATGCCGCAGCAGGTGGAGCCCAGCGTCTCGCGGAACATGGATCTGCACCCCAGTGCGTATCGGATATGGAGTAATCTGCCAGAAGAGCTGCGCCACGCTCAGATATTGTTCTTCTGCGAGATCACGCTGCACGCCAGGGATCAGCTGCGGCCGGCTCTGCTCTTCCTGACCGCATCGGTGCTGGCCATCATGGAGTCGGACAACGATGACCTGACCTTTGCCTCTGCAGTAAGCAAGGTGGCTGTGGCAGAGGATCGCGATGATCCCACAAAGTTTTACCTGAGCCTAAGGCCAGAGCAGATGGAGGACTTCGAAGGGGTAAGTGGAATCAAATCAAATCGAACCGAATCAGTGTTGGCATAAGCTCGACCTTAATTCCAGCAAATGAACTACACGAATGAGCGCATCCTGAAGTTCTTGAACACCTCGCGACTGCACACGATAGCCAACGATTCGCTGAGTGATATTTTCCAGCTGAATGAACTCGAGGTGGACCACCAGTTGAAGCGCCAAACGCAATGTATCTTTTACATCCAGCACAACTTTGGCAGGCACCTGATCCACTATCTGAAGGTGATCGGTCGGATGCAGGCCTCACAGTAGCCAGTATGTTTCACAATTAGGAATTCAGGAGGTAGCAAGTCCCTCGCCTAAGTCCAAGTATGTTTTAATTGATGTGTACGTTATTTTATGCCAAAAACAAAAGACAATTTTTGTTACTTTTTTGCAATAAAAATAAGCAAACCAAAATATATAATTATATTCCGATAATCCTATCTGCCCATTGGCTAATGGATAAAGTTCGTTACGCAAAATGCAATTTAATGAAATTTATTTTGGTTAAGCCAAAAGCCCACCACAGCCATAGCCACCCGTGCCACATGCCAGAGCATGCCAGAAACAAAACTTAAAACTATTTGCAGGCAGGGGCCATGGGCATTGCATTCCGCCAATGAACTGCAGCACGAAACTTGGTTGGAAGGCATTATAATGGCGCGCGGACAGATAAATCGATCTAGTCAAAAACAATGCAAGTAGCAGAAACTTGTAAAAATGTACTTGTCGTCCACAAAAGCCGCCAATGAGAAGGGAAGGTCTTGGCTTGACTTCGCTTCGCTTCGCCTTTCTCCGCTTTGGCTGTGGCTTTGGCTTTGGCAGTGAGTGCACAAACTGAGGATTCAATTATGGCTGGGGTTGGCACACCGCAGCCACAAGCAGCCTCAGCCCCCACACTGGTTGCTCGTTGCTGGTTGCCTGCACAAGGCACTTGGCGCATGGCGCTTATTGACGCCCCAGGTTGACCTTCTTTATGTGTTTGACATGTCCCGGTAGGAGCCACAGCCACCACACACACGGACTGAAATGAAATGCCTTCCTTCTATTGTTTAATGTGTATAAAAGGTGTGCATTTTACGACTGCGTTGTTTCTTGCCCTAAAGTTGCCTCCTATTGTGTCCGGTTCTCAGTCGTACAGGTATGTATTCATAGGTAAGTATATGGCACATACATATATACGAGTATATGTATATGTAGATGTTTTTTGCTCTCTAAAAGTGGGCTGTCATATAATTTAGTAGTCTCTTTTGGACCCATTTGATGCTGTCCAATTAAAATGCATCCATTGAAAGCAATGCCTCCACATTAATGGAATTCAATAGCTGTAAATGTAACCAATTTCCATTCGATTGAGGCTGCCAGGCCTAATGACCTGCATTTAAAATGCTTTTAGTGCAGTGAAATTGAAATGAGCATAAACAGCATTACTACTTCCATATACACACATATGTATATATGTATGTACAAGGCCACCCACCTAATGCATTATGACAGCTTCTTCTCCTTCTACTTAGTGAAGGGCACTCGGGTTCTTTCTTCGAGGAGCTGCTGGCATAAGGGTCTGCTCTGGCTTCCATTTACGAGTGTGGTGTGCCCACATGTGGAACGGAATGGTATGGTATGGAATGGAATGGAATGAAATGTGAGTATTTATGCATAAATCTGGGCAAAGTACAATTTCATATGACTTCCGCTGAATCCAAGATTACTAAAACAGGCCTCGGGTGACTTGGAACCACGGCACTGAGGGACTTGTGACGTTTATTACAGAGTAGGAAAATAAATGGACATTACATACACACAACGAAAAACCCAACGAATTATTCATGGCTTATAAGAATGTAAACATTGGAAAATTAACGTACGGTACGCCATGCCATGTGCTCTCAGTGTACGCCCTCCCTCCCAGCCACCCCGCCTCTCCGCCCATTTGCTCGGGAGGATTGGCGGGCGTTCAAGTGGGCACAGGACATAAAGCAAATAAAATAAAAAATCAAATGCAATTTTTTCTAAAATGGTTACTTATAAAAAATTGATACACCAGCAAAGCATAGAGCATAGACAGCTTGCAGGGGAGTGGAGTTCCACAAAAAATACAAAAAAAAAGTATACAAGCGAACCATACACATAGACACACAAATATTTCAAATATGTTTTGACACTGACTGTCGGAGGGGGAAGTGAGAAGAGTGGGGAAGGGAAGTCGCCCTAGGCAGTCGGATTATTCATATTTAAATACATACGTACGTACATATTGCACACTCACTGGGGACTTTGTACATTTGTCAGATGGGTTTTGCAAGTCTAGGCCAACTCTCCCAAAGATGCCACACTCCGAATACTCGTACTTACTCGTCTCGTATAATATAGATGGAATACTTAAATAAACATATAGGACGGGACGAGAATAAGAAGAGAATCTCTCTCTCTCTCTCTCTCTCTCTCTCTCTCTCTCTCACTTAAAGCTGTTGGCCGTTTAAAGTGTTTACACCAGAAAACCAGACGGAATCAAACGCGTTTGATATTTCATAAATAGCAAGTCGTTTTATTCGCAAAGAGGTTTACATTCAGAGATTTATATTTACATGAACATACTCGTACTCTTACTCGTACTCTTACTCGTACTCGTACTCGTACTCGTAGCTTGATGCTCAGTTACTTATTTGGTACAACTTAAGTCGGCAGCTTAAAGCGAATTCATTGGATTGGGTAGAGGGAAATGGAAATTCGAGGAACCAGTACAGTATTTACAGCTTAAACATGATCGAACACTTAATTTAGGTTGGATATTCATACATACATACATGCATACATATGCAGACAAACATTTTTACTAAACATACAAGAAAAACTCTTCCCATTTCGACTATTAGTTTTAATCCTCCCCTCTCCGCAAATTCAGCGGCTCTGGCAATTGAGTTAAAGCCATTCTGTGACCTAATGGATCATAGTTTTAAAAGAGCTTTAAGTAGCACTGTGAAATGAAAATCCACCGATATATATGTACATACATATGTCCGTAGGATATGTGCAATGGGCGGGTCGGGTAGTGCGGTACTGCGGTACTGCGGGTGGGTTAAAACAGATCATTCACATATATTGGTACTTTGAGGAGGACTGCGGTGGAACTTTAGTATTTGTGTTAAGCTTTTGCTAACCTGCTAAAAGTATAAATTCGAGACCTAAATAAAGTAAGCTTATAGCCAGGTTTTGTCATCGGCTGCATCCTTGTCATTGCCAGTCCCTGTCACTGTCCGGCCTGCCAGGTTGGCGCCTCTATAGTTGTTGTTGTACGGCGATGAGGAGACTATCTGTGTCTGCATCTGCATCTCAACGCTTTCCAGCGGCACCGTTGGGCTCGTCGGGCCGACCGGCTGTCAGGAGAGCAGCTGAGTGGTCTGACTTTCCATTGGCAAGGCGGAACTGCTGGTATTACTGGCACCACTGCTCTGCCCAGTCCAGCGGTGCTGCAGCTCCTGCTGGTATGCCACTCTCTTCCTGTTGCTGTTGCTGTGGCCTTGGCTGTGGCTCAGGTGATCCGCTGGAGCCGAGTGGCGATGCAGGCCCTCCTGCTGCTGGCTGGATCGCAGCGGCGCATTGCGCAAAACTCCTGAGAGCAAAAAAAAGGGGGAACATAATTTAATCGTGGGGTGCTATTGATAACTATTAGATGGCACTGCCCGCACTCACCACAATGTGATATTCGATGCGATTTAGGCGAGCTGGGGCAGGTGTAAAGTATAGACTTCTGTGTATCTGCCAATATCGAATGGAACTTTTCAGCTTTATTGGTTCCATATTCTGCTCCCTCTGTGGACTTACCATTGCGCTTAATGCGGTTGTGATCTGGCGAACCGGAGCATGAGTACCGGGAAGTAAGATTGTCCCTTCGGTTGAGAGACTCTGCGCCCACCCGCACAAACAGACACCAGCGAAAGACCATCTTAAACCCGTACCGAAAGCTGCAAGAGATTGAGGGAAAATATATATAAACTGAAACTGAAAGCAGAAGATACAATCAAATTCAATTTGATGCGCAAGGCGTGGCTGGACTCCTAGATTATCTATTTCCGCCTCCGCTCCAGTCGTCGCTGCAGTAGATCGACCGACAAATTATTCGCGACCTCTTTAGATTAAAGTCTATGGGGTCGCAAGTGCTCTCTGCGTTCTCTATGAGTACCGAATAAATTAACAAACACCTTCATTGTCCTTGTCCTCCGTCATTTGCATAAGGGGCTCCATCAATTGACTGGCTCTGACTTCAGTCGTGGTCGTGGTGGTGGTCCTGGTCCTGGTCCTGGCCCTGCTCTGTCCCCTTTCAGGCCAACGAACCACTCCACCCACCAATAGTCAGATATCCGCTGACTGAGCGAAATTAATTGCAATCGTTACGTTTTCCCGGATACGAACACGGACACAGGCGCCTGAACAGCCGCCGGACTGTGAACAGTCAATTTGTACACATCCACAGCAACATCCACGTCCGACCTTTTTCTCTTTCGAACGAGTAGGAATACTCGTATATGTGTAGATATATGTAGATATGAATATCCCTCGGTATGGTGTCATGGATTAGCACAAACTATATTCGAAAAGAACGCTGGGGTAGCAGGATGTGTACAGTGTACAGTGTACACTGTCCAAGCGATGATTATGAGTGCCAGCACAGCAAGTACATACATCATTGGCAGGAGAGGGAACCAATCAACTAATCTGTTGCCGGCTCCCTTGCTGAGCTGCCACCAAAAGAAACTCATCTCAAGGCCGCTCCCCTCTGATGCTAATTCAAGCGCAAATGACATAATTTTGCTGTGCGTACTCACCGCGAATTCATCCAGCAGTAAATAATGGGATTATACATGGAGTTGCTCATGGCCAGCCAATATATGGCCAAATAAAGTTCCTGGATGAAGGGGGCCTCCGTGATGGCCGGGTAGCAGGACGTCACGATGAAGTAGCTGTGGAAGGGCAGCCAGCAAATGGCGAATATCAGCACGACCACAATCATCATCTTCACCACCTGCGAACGGAAAGCAATGCTACAATTTACGCGAATTTGTTTAAGTCCTTTACAGAGGGAGTGGGGAGACGAAGATAAGGCTAAAAATATATCCAAGTAATCTTGGTTTAATTCAAAGCCGTCTGTTAATCTCTTAAAATGAATGCCAATTAATATGGAGGATAAATGCACAAGCAACTTAAAGAAGCTGAATTAGTACGTAAATGGTAATAGCTCACCCGCCGTTTGCTGCGCACATTTTCCGTTTGCCTGGGCGTACACTCGCCTATGGTCTTGGAGCCCCACAGCTCGATGCCCACGCGCGAGTAGGTGACCGTCATGGACACAATGGGCAGAATGTAGGTGAGAATCATGATGAGTATGTTGTAGCTAAATAAAGCAAACAAACACAGATCGTAGGCTAGTAGATCAAACATTATTGTGGCAATGCTTTTAAAGTCATTACCTATGGCACGTTCTATGGTACATTGTTTTGTTATGATGTATACTCGTACTCGTACTCGACTCGACTCGACGTTCGTTATATTGAGTAAGTAGCAATTTGGTATGAATCTAAAATTAATGGTCTTCCATGTGGGACACCCAGGACACCCAGGACACATAGGACACACAGGATACAACCAAATTGCCGTACAAAATGGCTGTAAAAAGCAACACTTTTCATACGCCCCCAGCCCCCCCGCCTGTTCCGCCACTCTGTCGCCTGTTCTTTATGCTTATGCCAGTCGGTTGGTTGGCTGCTTCGGTTTTGGCTGTTTCGTTTGTTAACTCACTGCGAACTGACATGCCAAATGTCCGCTTTTACGACTCCTATATCATATCTCATATCTCCCATCTCCCATCCCATCCCCGATGGAATACAGGGGATCCAATGTTGCAGTCCCTGATTGTCGTCCATGCACGTGCAACCCTCCAGGGCCATGTGGCAGCATCGCCTTGCCCCTTTACTTCGGAGGAAGCAACAAAAGCGTTGACTTGTGCTTGACTTTCCCGTGGTATTGTGGGAAACGAGGCATGTCACTGAAAACTCCCCCCACACCCGTCCCACCAAACTCTGCTCGTAAATCCGTCACAGCTTATCCCACCTCAGTGATGAGGAATCATCCCGTTTTGCCGTTTTGCCGTGTCTCTGCCTTGGGACTCTCTACTGAATACTCACATATACTCCAGCATGGAATGGTTTGTTTGACCATCCGGCCATTCGGGGTAGCAGACGGTCCGTGTGCTGTTGCCCCTCACAGGCACTTCCTCTGTCTTGTAGAAGATCATCATGGGGCAGGAGATGAGTGTGGAGGCCAGCCAGATAACCGCGGCAATGGCCAAATTGCATCGCTTGCTCATCCGGGGCTGCAGTGGCCTCATAATGGCCACGTATCTGAAAACAACAACAAAGTGTATGCAATGGCGCGCCATTTTTAATACAATAAAAGGGGAGCGCCACAGAGCCCCTTCATTCTGAAACTTTTGGCAGCGCCCGAGAGACCCGGAAACCATAAGCTGATTATAGAAATGGTCTCGCAGGGAGACCCCAAAAAACTCCATAAAATGCAATTTAGTGGCAGGCCGCAGCATGTGGAAAATTCCAAAATTAAATTAATTCCTTCACTTTTCTGGCTGCACAGAGTTGTGGCTGCTCATCAGATCAGGGACCTTTAATTGCGAGCGCTGACTAGGACCCAATCTACTACGATAAGCAGGCTCAAAATAGTTGTTGGGCAAACAGCTTTAATACATAGCTCAATACACGAATGGGGATGCCTCCATTTCCAATAGATTAATTTCGACCCGATGCCCTTTTTTTGGGTTTGCTTTCTTGACAGGCAATCGTTTACGCAGCAGACAAGTATTTTATTTTTCATTTTTATTTATGCTTGCATGAAAAATCTCCTTAAACCGAATGAATGGGATGTTTTGCATACACATATCTATCATATTAGTGTGCTTGAAGTCGTGATTGATAAGGGTCTCTGGGGGTGAAGCCCGTCCCTTGAAGTATTCATAAGTTACAGTGTTATTTGTCTTATATCCGTATGCCCAGTCCACTCACCTGTCGATGGAGATGGCCATTAGGGTGAAGACCGAGGCACAGATGCTCAGCATGGCGATGAATTGCGAGATTTTGCAGTAGAGCTCGCCGAAGGGCCAGTCGCTGTCCAGCATGTAGTAGTAGTTGAAGGTGACGTTCAGACTGGAGACCATCGCATCCGCAATGGAGAGATTCACTGGAGGAAATTCGGGAAACAGAAAGAGAAGAGAGCAGAAAGACAAAGAGCCAAATCAGAATCAGTGCTTATCACTCAGTTCAAGTGGCAAAAGTAAGCAAATTATGGGACAAGGAGAAAAACAAAAAAAAAACACGAAGGAAGAAGTAACAAAGAACTTTTCTAATTGCAGGAGGCAGCAGGCAGCAGGCAGGAAGGAGGACACCTTTGCTTGTTTATTTATGCGTTGTACATTTGTAATTAGTGAGGACTAAAGTGCACCTTCACATTCATTTTCACTTTCACTGGAAACCAGCCATATTTGTTTGCCTGAGAGCTGAATGGGAATCGGAGGTCCATCCGCATCCGCATCCACATCCGCTGGCTCCCATCATTCATTGCTTTGATACACTTTTTATTGTGTTTCATTTGCATGCCGTGCAACGATTTACATGCCAATGAATCAGCCAGCAGCAGCAGCCACCGAACAGACAATTCCAAATAGCAACAAAATGTGTGTGAGAATACGCAAAGTGAAAACGATAGCAGAACAGAAACCAAAGGGAAAGTGTCTTCGCCTTTGTTTACTTTTCATTATCTGCCCTGCCTAAAGATAAGGCGAGCAGAGCAGAGCAGAGCAGAACAGGCGACAAAGAAACACGAGAAACAACAGCACAAACAATAAAACAAATGTTCTATGCCGAACATTAGCCCCGTGTTCTATGTTCTAGTTCTTCCCTCTGCTCTGCTCTGCTCTGTTCTGTTCTGACGCCCACGACACGACACGTCGCGACGTGTCGCATTCTAACAAACGACCTGAACTCCTCCTGGACTTCTTGTGGTCCTCCGGCTGCCATTACCCATGGAGCCTGGGGCTTGGACCTGTCAGCCACGTAGCCAAATATCGATTTAGCCTCATTTTAATTAATAACAAAAGGAAACTTTTCAGTTATGCCGCCCCGCCCAGACCCGCACCAAGACTACACTACCCCGATAATACTCTCGATGCCAAAAACTAATTAATGGCAAATAATTAAGTATTTAAATCTGCTTGCCATCGTTCTGCCTTGCCCTCATAATTTTCCTATAAATATTTACACAACAAAAAACGACTTTCAAGTATTTTTTGTTCCTTTATTGAGAAAGTCAGGCGACTCTCGCGTGGCTCCAAATACTCTTTTCTACTCACCAAACTCAAACAAAAGATGCAAATACGCATTGATAATGAACCCAAAGAAGATTATCAGACGGTGACTGACTTCCCCCCCGCCACCGACAGCGCCAGCGGCAACGGCCACAAAATGGTGGGGCGCTCCATGGTGGAGCTGCCACTCAAAATATTGTGATGTGATGTGAATTTAAATTTTCGTGCCCAAAAATGATTAAAACGTCAGAACTTGTTACCAATAATAATCATAATGATTGCCCAATGTGTAAGTAAGTATTTATAAATGCAAATTCATCGTGAAAAGCTCCTGTTAGAGCTCTTCGAGCTCAACGGCCATTTATATACAATGTACATAGTTTACATAATAACAATGATAATAATCATTACTGAAAGAGGCAGACATCCGATTACCGATGCTTAGGGAAGCATAGATAGCCCCCTGGGCAGAGGCAGGCAGAAGCAAAAGGGGCAGGGGCAGGGGCACTTTGCCTTTTCCATTGTTTGATTTTGATCTTGGACACAAGAAAGAGGAGCGGAATAGGGACACGCAGGATATGGTGGAGGGGCTGGGGCTTACCCATTGTTTTAGCCATGCTTTTGTGCATTTTTCTGTCTTCTTGCCCTAATGGTTTCGACCCTGCAACTGCACTGCACCGCATACATTTACATAGGATACGACTGCCTGCTATCGAATGAACGTTCCAGCGTGGGTGGGTGTATTGTGTTCAGTGTATGTCCATCAGAAAAGTTTACCGACACCCAGCGGGCATCCTTGAATGCATCATAATGTGCTTAATGTCGTTATCACTATGATGCACTGCTGCAGGAAAGTTGGCGCACACATCCTGCGAAGAGTTTCGAAGTCAGAAAAGTTTGCGTGTTCTATGCACGGGAGACTGGCTTGGGGTGCCATGTCAAAATGTGCATTTGAATTATTATTATTATTAAAATTGTTGCCTAGCTCAAAATGAACATTCCTGTCTGTGGATCCCAAGACACACACCTGACACTGCACAGCACTGCACATCACTGCTAAATAGATGCACTCCGAAAAGTGAAACGTGACTGAACGGGAGATTCAATTATTAAAAGACATTGCAGCGTTAACAAGCAAACTTGATAACTTGATTGTGTGCTCGGGGCAGAGGATATTAAAATTAATGACATCATGACCTGCCCTCCAGAGAGGGGGGGCCCTCTACATACGTGGCCAAATGTTTTGGAAATTTTCTTAACTGCCAGCAGGTCTTCCTGATAGCAGGCACTCAGCACCTACTGCAAGTTTCCCCAGGAGCAGTTCACCTAATTGGATCTTAGCTATAGCTATAGTTTCCCCTAGATTGGATTTAAAATAAAGGGAAATCAAAAGGGAAACATGCAAACAAAAAGAGACACAATCAGTGCCGTTGGATATAATTAAGGGAATATACGTTAATGATTTGGGTCGGCTGCCTGTGTTTGCAGATCGTCCAAGCACAAAGGAAAATACCTGTGTGGGGCCCTCACACAGTCGCCCAGTCTTATGCCTGATATTTGCATTGCGTATACGCAGTGTTTGGCCACGTGGCTGGGCTGGCCGCGAATCAACGCAACGTACTCACCTATGAAATAGTTGGTGACTGTTCGCATGCGCTTGGTGGTCATCACAATCCATACAACAATTAGGTTGCCGCCTGTTGCCACAATGACCATGCCGCCAAAGAGAATGCTCCACAGGATCTGCCGCCACCAGGGCATCACAAATGCAAACGAGTCGGCTGTCTCCATTCCAGCCGCCGCCGCCGCACCATTCCCAGCCCCATTCGCATCCGCAGCCTCTGAGGAAGGCAGCGGCAGGACCGTCGACAGACTGGATGGGGGAACAATGGGGAATTAGTGACATCGAGATTAAGTGTGTGTTATGTTTCATGTCGTCCCACCGCTTCACCCTAAACGACTGCCAAGTGGGTGATGTGGATGTGTATGTGGATGTGATGTGCTGTGTCTATGTAACCAGGCGAATGCGAAAGCGTGTGTGGGTGTGTGTGGATTCCAGGATGTTGTCGCTATTAAGCATGTGTAATTGTGCGTGCGTTGACAAATCCGTGTTCTTCTGCAGCGCCGTCTGCCACATAAAACATTTCGGGTTGAGCTGTAAGGGGAGGGAGGAAGGCTGCTGAAGCCCATCGGCTGCTGATGTTGTCGTCATCTTTTTAATATTTCGTGAGCCTGTGCCAGTGCCTATGCCTCGACGGCTTGTTTATTTAGGTTTACATCTACAAAAGTGTTTGAATAGACGGCATAGAATTGGAGCATGGAGCATGGAGCAGGGAGCATGAAGAAGCGTGGAGCAGCCGCAGGAGGGAAGGATTTCTGTGGCGCCACACTCCGTCATGGAGCCCGATACCCCTTTAGTCCGCTAGTCCGCTAGTCGGTCTTTATTGGACATACATACTTGTGCATGGGGAACGGAGATGGAGAGGGTCCTGGCGATGTCATTTAATATGCACGTATTGTGTTAAAGAAGGCCCATAACTGCCAGGACAGGCCAGGCCAGGGCAGGCATGACTCCGGTGAGTCATTAGTGTTTGCTTTCGCTCTTCAGAGCAATTAAAAATATGCTCACATGAGTAATTCTCACTTTACAGAGCGGAGCGGAGCGAGCCCCTTTCTCACATGACGAACTGCCTGGGATTTACATAAATTCCCATTTATTTAAGGGCCTACTGCTGAGAGGATTATTGATTTTTTTTTATGGGCGGATAGTTATGTTTTTTTAACGAGAAGAAGGGAAAAATTCGTTTAGCTGCTATTGGGGTTTAAATGTCGCATGGAAGTGCCGAAAAGGGTATAAATATTTGCATAGCAAAACTGATAATACAATGATACGTATCAAAATTAAATAATCAAATATTTTCTATTCATCGAACAATAAACTTGGCAACTGGGAAAGGGTAAGGATAGAGAAAGGGTATATATGCTTCGTTTTATTGGAGGTTGTTCGTTTTCGTTTTTCTATTTTATTTCCCCATAAATCGAAAGGGAAGCAAACAAACAAAGAGGCAGTTCGAAAAGTAAAGAATGGCAACCGAAATAGCAAATGATACTCGGGGCTGTTATTGCAGGATTGAGGACAGACTCCTCAGACGGGAGGCACACAAAAAGAATGGAAAGCCACTCGGAAAATGTATTTTCGATGCGTCAAACGTAGCCATGGCATAGTAATTATTGTATCTGACTTTGAATATGCCACAGCCGTAGCCCGAGAAGATTGGATGTTACTGCAGTAACTCAGTGGGCCATTGGCCATTGGGCATGCCTTTAAGAACTGCAGCTAGGCGACGTTGCTGGGAGACGAGCCGACAATGGCCCAAGGCTAGGTAAAATATGGAACCTATTCGTATTCTGTGCATGGGTGGGTGTATTCCCGAATGTTCTCCGAGTGTTTGCTTTCCGCGGGCCGGGCCTCTCCAGCGTAATGTATTTGAAACGGAAATAAAGAGCCCGCCACTGGCACTGGGCGGAGTGAAAGCGGAAGTGTCTGAAGTGTCTGAATGAATGACTGAATGGCGCAATGAAGGCATCATTAGAGATGCATACTCGCACTCGCACTCGCGCTGGAGCGGAGAGCCACGAACTCCGCAAAGTTATGGGCCTCGCTTGCCGCCCCCTCCCCTCTGATGGATGGTGGACTGGCATTAATTGAGTCTTGTGTCGTAATTAGGCATTCGAATGGGGGTCAAAGGCTCGACTTACCCTTGGCTGAGATTGTAGGAGCTGCTGCTGCTGCTGCCGGGCAGACCAAAGTCCTGGCTAAGTCGGGCAGGGGCGTGACACTGCTCATGGCATTGAACAGCATGACGGCGGGGGTGCTCCAGTTGCTCCAGTTGCTCCAGTTGATGTTGATGTCAGCGTCAAGAGAGTCATCCCCGATCCCGGTTCCGCTGTGGTTTTCCATCATTCTCCGGACGTATTGTCTTTGTCCTGTGATGTGTGCTTAGCTAATGTTGCGTGTCCCTTTTATGTTCTCCTATTTGCTTTCCATTTACCAGAACCTGAACCTGAAAGCCGACACAAACCACATATTATTTAATTTCTTAAATGCTTTATTTTATTTTATTTGATTTTATTTGATTTTCGCAATTTCTTTGTTGTTTGAATGTATAGCAAGCTTTTGGTACTCATTTGATTCAAAAGTTTTGAGGTTCGGCTCCCTCTATCGATTTCGATTTCGATTCTTTTCATTTTCTGTTTCTCCTCTTTGGGTACGTGACTTTTAGACGCCTCGCCCTCGTCTCCTTTGTGGCCTGTCGCATGACCTTCCAAAGAACTTTCTTGCGGTTTGTTTGCCTCTGGTTCTTTTCTTTGAATAATCTGGCTTAAAACAGGACAGACTCTCTTCAAAGCGACAACAAAGTTCCACACAAGTTGTAGCTGTTTGTTAATGAGGCCGAGAAGTGGCGACTATTCAAAATACTGTACACACTTTTTTCGGCAGCCCAGGAGTGCATCAGGTAACGATTATTATTGGTTGGCTACACGATGAGGAATGTGGCCGCAATATGTGGAACAAACAGGGGGCAAAATGTGTAGTTCATATCTGGAATTCAGTAAAGTTAATGCATCCCCAGAGCTAAATTAAATTCCATCTTCAAGACCTGCGAAACATTTTTCATGGAAATGGACATGGACTTTTTGGAACTGCTTCAATTTTTGGTACAAAATATTGTCAAGAAATGGCAGGGAAAAGTTAAAAGAGTCCACCACAAGTGGATGGTCCTGTCCTGCTTGGTCGTCCTTCAATTAGGACTGAGGACTGTGTCTGCCAGGTCAAGATACTCGTAATTGCAACAGCAGTTCAGTCCAGTCCAGTCCAGTCGAGTCGAGTCGAGTCCGGGGGGCCCTTGAAGTTGAACAAAACGAGACAAGAGTTTTATTCATTTTTGAGGCATTTTCATTGCGTTTTGAAGGGCGCAGCACGGTCTCGACAACTGCTTGCTGTCAGAGCAGAAGAACAAAGGAAAACACGGAAAGTACTGCCACTACCTGATCATCAGTTCAGTCAATAGTCAGAATCAACACCCACCAGTACCAGTACCAGTACCAGTCCCCGTGAAGTAACAAAGCTGCAGCGGCAACGCAGAAGAGCGGAAGAGCAGAAGAGGCAGCAGCATTGACAGCTATTAAACAAACAGCGTGGCCCAGGCGGTGCAGAAATCAATTGCCGGCAATATTTCTACTCTGAAAATGATTACAAAATACACAAAGCATATGCCACAAACAAATTAATAATTTGGAATATTCTCTCCATGGAAGGGGCTGTGGCTGTGGCTGTCTATGGGGCGTGGGGCACTGAGCGATGATGCAACGGTACGAGTGCGAGTACGAGTACGAGAAGACGATGCACTCTTAATGAAATGTAAACAATCTTCAAAAGGATTGTCCGCTATAATTGGCAGATCGCTCCGCCAGTCTCCGAGTGGACATGGGGCAACCACACCCCCCACACCCACCCCAAAACTAGCTGGCTGAGTCACGGTCACGGGCAGGGGCTGAGGCTGTCAGGGGCAGCGGAAGTAAACCGTACAATGTGCGCAAATATTTGCCAAAATAGCAAAATGCGTAGCTGCCTTCCCCACACCGCCACCACAACACAGCCTGGCTGGGTCCTTTGTGACTGATGGCCGTTCAAATTGCGTTTTCTTTCAATAATCGCAAAAAATTACATTCGCATTTTTTGTGCTCGGAATTTCAGCGAACTTGAAAAATGGCCAAACGGTCACGTTCCACCGAAAGTGATGAAAAATGCTGATGTAGGAGGCGGCCACTGGGTAGGCTCTGCACAGAGTACTAGCACTGTATCTGTGGCTGTGGGAGCTGTAAAGTTTAAATTAATTTGTCAGACTCGCTCGCTGCCTGCCAGTCTGGTCTTCGCTCTTTCTTTTCGAAATCTTTATTTCGCAGCTCGCACGCGGTGGGACACAGCAATAGTTGAGGCGAGAGCCAAGACGAGTGTCAAGTGGCTGCTACAAACCTTCATCAGTTCAGCGTAAATATCCCCAGGGGGGTACGGGTACGGGTACGGGTACTGCTGAATGGCGGACCGGCTTGCCGTGACAGGGGAGCATTCCCGACCGGAATCACGGACTGAAAATATTGATAACGCAGGAAAAATAGGTACAAAAACAAAATAAGAGATATATTTATGCCTAGGCCCTCGCGACCTTTTAGTTGTTCCTAAAACGCTGCAGACACTCGTATTTATTTGAGCCAGGAGCAGGGAAAACATATTCGGCATTCATTATGACCGAGAATAAAAGAGAATTCTCCCCGTTCTCCGCTCCACTCACACTCTTTTTCTTGTACTATATGTTTGACAAGTGCAGGGTGGTGGGTCGGGTATGTGGGTGTGTCTCCATGGACAGCGGAGGCCCCTTTGCGTATGTGTGCCACAACATATGTACATATGTATGTCAATGGGAGAGCTGTCCTACGACAGCTACCCCTGCCTTGACTCGGCGGTCTACTTTTGGCCGGCACACAGCGTACACAATATGTCGTAGACTTTCACTTCCTGCCACCCAGGCCCAGGCAGTGAATTTCTAAAACAATTTATTACAAAACAAAAAACCCCGAGCAAGGCCTCCGCTCCTCCGACTTGGCCAGGGATACAGCTAGGGATACAGCTAGGAACTTCATAATAATAAAACGAATCGTAATAAGAAGCAGCAGCATTAGCCGGCGCATTGGTTGGTCCTGTGCCCGTGCCTGTGCCCCAGCCCCAGCCCCGCACAATGAAAGTGAACTTGAATTGTAATTACCAACGCCTTTCAGCGGGCTTAAATGAGCGTTTTTAATTTCCCCACAAGCACCCACTCACGGAACCACATACGGAACAATTAAAAATATATGAAAATAAAATGAGCATAAAGTATATGAGGCTGCAAATTGGCCACAGCCTCCGGCTCATCCTGCTCTTGCAGCTCGTTCAGCTGTTTCAGATCCTCCTCAGCCAGCAGCAGCGGAGGAGCACAATGCGAGCAAAATTCATCAAAATGATTGTTTAATGAGCTCCATGCCCCATACATCAGCTCCATGCCACATGCGCCATGCTTCGAGCGGGCAATTCATTTACGAGTTTATTTCTTCTTTCGCACCTTTCAAAGCAAAAACAACCAGAACAATAACACTCACAAAAATTAAAAAATCCCATCTAATATATAAATAAATTGGAATAGGATGGTAGGGGAGGGATGGGATGGGTGATAAAAACACAGACACACCATTCGAGGCATTTGCATGAAGAAGAGCCGTAGGGAAATACATTGTGTTGGGGCAGGACAAGTAGCTGGCTGCTGGCTGCTTTCTGTTTCTGTTTCGTTTTCTTCAAATTTAATTGCTCAAGCGATTTTCGTTGCGAATTGTTTAAAATTGAATCTAAATCTTCGAACGGGGAGCAAAAGTCTGATCCAAAGGTCGCTCGTACATACGTACATACTAGTATGTACATATATCTTTGTGGCAATTAGACTTTTGCTGCTCATCAGCTGCCGGATGTGGCGAAACGTGAGACTGACTCTAAGTCCCTGTGCCACCTACATAAGTACGTGTTTGCACTGTATCGTGGCATAAAGTGTTTGGCTTAAAGAGTCCGAGGAGCTTTAAGGCACCAGCAAAGGAAGAGCAGCAGCAGGAGGAGGATAGGAGGATAAGAGCATGGATGGAGCCTCTGGTGGTCCTCTGCATAAATTGACCAGAGCTTGTGCTCATATCGTAAGTATTATGGGGCTCCAGCACATAACGAAGCCACAAAAGCTGCACCAACACCATCACTGGGGATTTGAGAACCTGAGGAGAAATAGTTCGCAGCACTCATACGACCTGTTGTACGGCTATGGCCATTGCCATTGCCAATTGCCATTCCAAGTACCATTACCAATTACCAGCACCGGACATAAACATGAGCTCCGCTACCCCAGGTGAGTGGGGAGCAACAGAACAGAACAGAAACAGAACAGAAACAGAAACGTAGAACCATTTTCAAAGCTACTATTCGAATGTCTTATCTTATCAGAGGTCTGGTAGCAGACACCCTTCCCCCACCCTGCCCTAGGTATTAGTGTACTGTGTGTGCCATGCATACAAAACCGAAATTGACTCGAACAACACGCCAGACGAGGCGAGGCAAATAGCCGCTTGCACTTTCACACTTGCTCCACGAAGTGCGGGGAGCATCAGACTACAATGAATGGTTCGGTTCGCCCCATGTCGAACAGACGTCCCTTCCCCCCTGACACCCACTTTAGTCAATTTATTGCAATTATGTGTAAATTGAGGAACAAAGCGGAGACAGACGCCGACAGACGGCACCGAGGTCTTTAATGGGAAGACCGAGGAGATCCCTTTCCCACTCGGTTCCCAGTTGCTCCCTGACTCTTTGCATGGGTTGACGGTGGACAGTGGACTGTGGATGGTTGGTTTCGATTCGATGATGTTGCAGAAAGGAGAGAGAGACTCTGCACTAAACAGGGAGACGCCTGCTAAAATATGCACATGATTCACAGAGTTCATTTAAATTCATACCGGCCAGAGATACGACACTGCCAGGGAAGTGAACTTGTTGTCCAGCTGGAAGACTTGTCCTGCCATGTCCCATCCTTGTCTTGGTACAGGAACGGGAACGGGAACGGAACGGAACGGCTGCCGCATCGGTTTCAATTTAATTAAATGTTTTGATGCATGACAGCACAGACAAGAGGACAGGCCAGTGCCTGGACAGGCACACACGACATCTACTTCTTACTTCTTACTTATTCGCATTCGCATTCGTTTCATTTCGTTTCGTTTAAAGATCTAAAATTCGTTTACGCCTGCCTGAACCTTTAAGGACAGTTTTTGGGTG